TCCCATATGTTTTACAAAACCCACATGCTTTGGAAAAAACTGTATTTTCGAATTTATGAGGCATGTATTTTGGTTTTTGATAATATATCTACCTAATTCACTGTTTTATTATACGTATTTATTTGGCTTCTTTTATGATGCATGTCCTAATATGATTAGAGTTTGTATTATCATTTACTGAGTTTATACTCATTCTTTTTCTCAATATTTTCAAATTGTTGATTTGTCTTTTTGTCCACATTCTTGAGCGAGCACGTAGTGTTCTACTGAGTCACTTCTAAGATACAAGCATTGTTGTATATATCTATTTGTATTCAAGAGTTGCTCCATTTACTTATAAGACAGGATCTTTCTGTTGTATATGTTGTATTATTATGTTAAATCTAATTAAACTTTACATGTTCATTATGTTCAAGGCTTATTAAAGTTGATAATCCATTCTTAGTTCCTACCATGTGCTTAATTTTGGGGTGTGACAATATTTTAGCTCCAAATATCATTAAAATTATCAAGGAATTCATACTCATAATTTTTCTAGAGTTGAACCCATGAAATTATTCAACTTGGGAGAAATGCCCAAAATTTTAATTTTTTAGAAAACAATAGCTCATACCGGAGGGGTCCGATTGAAAGGGAAACAACTATTTTGATGATTGGCTATCTATCAAAACTGGATCAACCCATCATTAATCACCATGCAGTTCGCAGGCTCAATCATTTTCAGAGAGTAGGGCCATTAATTAGTAAAATTAGAATTCTTTAAAGTGGTTAAGCTGTCATTAATTAGTATAATTAAGATAATTTAGTTGACAAAGGGGTCTATGTTGATTGATCTCCTACTGTTATATCATTTCAAAACAACGGACGAAGCTTTACTTCAAGTCCCAACCCCTTGTATTAACTTAGTTTTGAAGGGATAGAGAAATTAATAAGAATTACAAAAGGAGACCTGTATTAAATTAAAATTATAAACTAGCTTTGCAACATCATTAATTACAAAAGAGGATTAAAAAATTTAGGGAAAATGTCATTTTATCTCCTTAAACTTTCTTCTTTAATTTTTGTCCCCTTGAACAATCTATTATATTATTAGGGAAATTTAAATTAGTATGTTATAATTGATAATATGTATTAAAAATATATTTAATTTTAGATATTAAATTAAAAATACAACTAAATTTTACAAAATTAATTTAGATTATTTGACAAAAATGATTTTTACTCTTAATTTTTTGATATTATTATATAGCAAATAGAAAATGTAAACTTGTTTAATTTGGTTTGATGGTTAAAATTCAAAATACAATTTTTGAATAATTTTTACTAAATTCAAATTGTATATTCATAGTTGGTAACTTTTTATTTAGTTAAGTTGTACAAATAGTTTAAATTAATTTCATAAAATTTAGTCATGTTTTAATGTAATATTAAAATTAAATACATATAATAATATCTATTATCAATTATAACATATTAACTTAAATTTTTAATATTTTAATAATTAACTATTATAATAATAATATTTTAAAAAATTCACTGCTTAATGCTAGAGATTTTGAAGGTAAATGTAATGATTAATCTAACAGTGTTAATTTTAAATGGGTAAATGATATAATGAATAGTTTAGGAAATAAGTATAATAGAAAAAAAAGTTCAAGAGAATAAAACGGTTTTTTACTCAAAAATTTAATAATTCCATATAGATTTAACTAATTTGTAAGATAAATTTTATTAAATTGTATAACTTAAATTATTCTACAGTTTAAATTTCAATCTTAATTCATAGTTAATTTTATTATTACCTTAATTTATAAATTTTATTTTATGAGATTTTCTTAAAACAATATCTAGGTTTGCTTTCACGAGGGAATGGAGGACACAAAATACGTCGATATAGTAGTTGTTGATTGACCAAATGTCACTCCTACCCTTGTCAACTGTCAACTCCCTTACCTGAAATTAAAATAAATTGAGGGATGTTATACAAGTAACTTAGAAAAAATGAAAAGAAAGAAGGAGATAAAATGTCACTCTGTGGGCTCTTCCAGCCTATTAAACGTTGAATAAGATAGAGTTGATGGGCACAGGTGGGGCTCAAAATGAGAGGGATATATTATTTAACTAAAGCATGTAATTAATTAAAAAAATATGTTTGCTATGGATAGTTTTATAATCCACTTATGTCTAACATACCTTGTCATTTCAGGAGGCTAGGCCGCTCAGATTTTTATTAAATTAAATTAAATTAAATTAAATTAAATTAATCTTTCTTAATCAATTCATCTTGTGCAACATGTGGGTCCCACAGATGACTATAGAATCATGTCAGAATACAAGGATTTAAGTGCAAAGTCGAGATTTAATTAATAATAAAATTGAAAACAAATGAAACTAAATTCTGCCTATTAATAAATGCTTAACATGATTATAAATATGTAGCTAATTTTTTGTTTCCCTTCTCAAATTTTTACGTAACAATTAAATTTTTAAATTTTACTAATTTAACAATTAGCTATTTTCATATTACAAATTTAAATATTTAAAATTTTTAAGACTTTAATTTTTAATTCTATCAATCCGGTCTAAATTGTGCATTGCCCAAGGAGGCAGAATCCATAAATATGTATCCTTTTATCAGCCTCGATTTGATAATTAATCTGGAAAATTGAGTGACAGTTTGTGACGGGTGCTATTTTTTTTTTTTTTTTGGGGATCTCTCTCTCTCTCTCTCTCTCTCTCTCTCTCTCTCTCTATATATATATATATATATATATTTTTTTTTTTTTTCCTAGTAAGCTAGTGCTTTTACTATAGACTGGAGGCAAAGAGGGCTTGCATGTCCACTGAGATTGACAAGCCCTAGTTCCAGCATATAATATCCTTGGAGGGAATCCTAGGGCTGGGTGTGGAATATGGATTCTTCACGGCTATCTTTGTTTCTGTTCTCCACTTCATTTCTTTTCCTTTTCTTTTAAATTATTGATTTTTTTTTTTTTAATTCTAAGGACTGTCAGCCTTTTAATAGAAAGGTAAATAAAAAGGAATTCAGGAAAAAGTAAATTTGTAAAAATAAATTTTAAAAGAGTAGATTTGGTTGGCTAAAAGTTTTTCTATTACTTAAAACTTTTTAAGTAAACAAGTAACTCATAAATCCAATTTTAACACTTGTGAAGTAAATAAGTAGAATTTGGATTAAGTTAGACTTAATTCATTTATACTCGTGATCTAGTCCTTTGGGTTTTCATGAGTTAAATTGTGTATAAATTATTAAATTTATGTTATTTACAAGTCACTCTTTAACAAATTTGAATTCAATTTTAATAAAATCTAAACTCAAACTTATAATGAGTTAATATTTTTTATCTTCATCATATGTATTTTTATCTATTTTACAGTTTAGAAATAATTCTATTCTAAATCAAACTTAATTTTTTATGAATAAGTATATATTTGATCATATTTATCCATACACATTAGATAGTCAAATTTAAATTCCGTGATATATGAACTCAAATTATTAAAATTAAACTTGACATCTGGCCAAAGTATAATTAAATGAATCAAATTTAAATTTAATATGGCACACCATGACTAATTTACAACCATAATTTAATAGTTTAAATGATTGGCCTGAAATATTTTTATAAATCAAAGCAACATAAAATATGCTTGCAATTATGAAAGTAAAATTAAAACCATTGTGGTGGGAAAAGCATTTTTTTAAAAATATATTCCGTTAAATTCTTTTCACATTGTTAAAAATTTTAAAAAAAATTGAGTTCTTTTACAGCTGAAAAAAATTTATCTTTAAATAAAAATACAAGAGGATAAAAATAATGGCAATAATCTCAAATCAGTAGTCGACAAAATTATAGTTAAATTTAGAAAACTTATTTTTATTGTTAGTTCAATAATGCAAGAGATGTGGAGCAAATGCACTTTCAAGAAAGAAACCAAAATTCTTGAAATGGAAACTCTCCTGTTCTGATGAATCATGTGGTGTGTATGTGCATGGCGAGACATTTTCTAGCACAGTCCTTCCACAAATGTCATTTTCCTTTTTCGTATATTTGTCGAGGGGAAGGTCTCAATTGTTAGCGTTTGGAAAACCAAAGCTGAAAAATATCTGAGAAAATTTTAATAACAATGGAAAACTCAAATGTAACAAATAAAAAAAAGAAACTGTGGTACGGCAGAGTGGCAAGCAGTCCGAGAAATCAACAGTTACATTGACTGCTGCTGCTCATTTCTCGTGACGATACGTGAAGAGGGATTTTGCAACGCCTACCTCCGTCCTGCTTTCCGATGCTCCCTCCCTCTCTTTCCCTCTCTCTCTCTCTCTCTAAGACAATGAAAGCACCTGGTCCGTGAAACGGTACCTAAACATTGTACGTTTTCGATCCTTTTTCATCATCTTTATATCGTTTTACAAAAGCCAGGCTTCTTTTGCTTCTGCAACCACAAGCCTTAGTTTGGCGCTGCCCTGCTCTACTCTACCTGGTCTTCGATATAACCTGTAAAGAAAGGCATTTTCATCGCAAGAAACAGTTCTTTTTGGTTCTTTACTTCCCTCATACCCTCTTTTTGTTCTGAAGAATGTTCCGGCTCCCCGAGTTATTGATCAAATACGTTTGATTCTACTCTTCCCTCTTCGAAAATCAAGGTTTTTATTGATTAAATGCAAAAAGATCTGGAGGGTCCTGATGAAAAAGTGAAAAGACGATTTGGTTATCGAAGTTCTAAGCCTTTATTTGGTGGAATTTTCATTTTGGGCTTTTGATTTCTTGATCACGTACCCTTGATTGCACACTCCCCTAAAAATCAAGTGGTTGTGAAACTGAAACATTGAGGTTGAAGGCCTTTTCTCTGTAGGTTTTCACAGAAGCTGTTGTTTCTGATTCAAAAAGGCAAAAGTAAATGTTGCATTTTCTGGGTTCAGTGGCTTCCTGATTGCAGTGTTGGGGGTTTTCAGAGAACAGTAGAGTTATTCCGTTTATAAGGCATTCTCTGTAATGGAATTTCTCTGCTTGTTCTCTCTCTTGGTGTTTATGTTTCTACCATGGTCTGAGCTTGTGCATTCTCAGCTCCTCCATGATGAGATAGCATTGCTTGCAATTGGAAAAGAGCTTGGCTTAACTGAATGGGGTCTCAACAGCTCAAATTACTGCTCTTGGCCTGAAATTGGATGCAACCTTAACAACTCCACCGTCGAAAAGCTCCATCTCTCTCACCGGGGTCTCCAAGGTAATGTCACTTTGATTTCTGAGCTTAAATCACTCAAGTGGCTTGATCTTTCGTACAATAACTTCCATGGATCAATCCCACCAGCTTTTGGGAACTTATCTGAGCTTGAGTTTCTTGATTTGTCATCAAACAAGTTTTGGGGCTCAATTCCCTTAGAGTTGAGTAGGCTCAGGAACCTGGTGGCATTAAATCTTTCAGACAACTTGCTCACTGGGGAAATACCCAATGAGCTCGAGAGCCTAGAGAAGTTGCAAGACTTGCAAATTTATACTAATAAGTTGAATGGTTCTATCCCACTTTGGGTGGGGAACTTGACCAATCTGAGAGTTTTTACTGCTTATGAGAACCAATTAAGTGGTCAAATTCCTGAGAATCTAGGGTTACATTCTGAGCTTCAACTCTTGAACCTTCATTCTAACCAGCTCGAAGGAACAATACCCAAGAGCATTTTTGCTATGGGGAAGCTAGAAGTCTTGATTCTGACTCAGAACCAATTGGCTGGCAGTCTTCCTGAAATGATCGGGCTTTGCAGGGGCCTCTCAAATATTAGAATTGGAAACAACAAACTCATAGGAAATATTCCAAAGGAAATTGGAAATATTAGCAGCCTTACATACTTTGAAGCCGATAATAACAATCTCTCTGGAGAGATTGTCTCTGAGTTTAGTCAGTGCTCTAACCTCACTCTCGTAAATTTGGCGTCAAATGGTTTTGTTGGTACGATTCCTCAGGAGCTTGGACAGCTTAGCAACCTGCAGGAACTGATTGTTTCAGATAACAGCCTATTTGGAGAGATTCCCACCTCAGTTCTTAGCTGCAAGAATCTAAACAAGCTTGATTTAAGCAATAACCGATTCAATGGCACCATTCCTGAAGATATCTGCAACACAACTAGATTGCAGTACTTATTGCTAGGTCAGAATTCAATTACGGGGGAAATACCACACGGGATTGGGAACTGCGTGAAATTGCTTGAGTTGGAAATGGGTGGCAACTATCTGACTGGAAGTATTCCTCCAGATATTGGTCACATCAAGAACCTACAAATAGCATTAAATCTGAGCTTCAATCATCTCCATGGAACATTGCCTGCAGAACTAGGTAGACTTGACAAGCTGGTTTCTTTGGATGTTTCCAATAATCAACTCTCTGGGAATATCCCGACTGCACTTAAGGGCATGATGAGTTTGATAGAGGTTAATTTCTCCAATAATATGTTCACTGGTCCCATACCCACATTTGTACCATTTCAGAAAAGCCCAAGCTCAAGTTTTTTGGGAATAAAGGGCTGTGTGGAGAGCCATTGACTTCATGTGGGAACCTTAATAGTTCTGGCCATGGGAATTACCATCACAAGGTTTCATACAAGATCATATTAGCTGTTATTGGCTCTGGTCTAGCTGTCTTTGTATCAGTGACCATAGTTGTTCTGCTCTTTATGATAAGGGAAAGGCAAGAAAAAAAAGCCATCAAATCTGCTGGGATTGCCGACGAAGCAAGCAATAACAAGCCATCAATAATAGCAGGCAATGTCTTCGTTGAGAATCTCAAACAAGCTATAGACTTTGATGCTGTCATCAAATCAACTATGAAGGAGTCCAATAAGCTAAGCAGTGGAACGTTCAGCACTGTTTACAAAGCAGTTATGCCATCCGGTATGCTTTTATTAGTGAAGAGACTAAAGTCTATGGACAGGACAATAAGCCATCACCAAAGTAAGATGATTAGAGAGCTTGAAAGGCTGAGTAAGCTCTCTCATGATAATCTAATGAGAATTATTGGGTATATAATCTATGAAGATGTTGCTCTTTTGTTGCATCAGTACTTACCGAATGGAACTTTGGCTCAATTCCTTCACGAGTCTACAAAGCTCCCTGAGTACAAGCCTGACTGGCCAACAAGACTGTCCATTGCCATTGAAGTGGCAGAAGGCTTAGCTTTTCTTCATCACGTGGCCATTATACACCTGGATATATCTTCAGGTAACGTCCATCTGGACGCGGATTTCAAAGCTTTGGTTGGAGAAGTGGAGATATCAAAGCTCTTAGACCCATCCAGAGGCACTGCAAGTATCAGCGCAGTTGCTGGTTCCTTTGGTTATATTCCCCCAGGTACTTCTTTGAATATCACATTCTGATTCGGTCCAATATCACCAGAAATTGCTGATATGGTAGCAAATTAGATTGTGGTACACATGATCCCAAAAACTGTATACATTCGGCCACCAAAGCGGAAGTTTAGCTACCAAAACTATCCAGGAACCTTTTGTATTTCTTTCCTTAAAAAGTTTTCCTTAGAGGAAAAATATAATGTCATCACTAAAACTTAGGAATGATGAAAATTTGATCATAAGAAGTACATGTGTTAGGCAATAATACTGCTGTAATTGTGTTTCAATGTGATTGAACTAAATAAAAATGAAGTCTATCATTTATTAGATACTAGTCATTAAATAAAATTGCTTTTAAAAGTTACGAGTTACAACAGCATATTGTGTAGAATCCTACCCAAGTATATCACGTTTTCAAGTGCTTTAGCATACCTTGTTTTCATTATCATTCCACATACTGGAATGATTTGCATTATGGATGACATAAATTCAGTCTCAGTGCTTTCCAAGTATGTTTTTTTATTTTTATTTTTATTTTTTTATGATTCCATGGCTACATATTTACTTATTTTTATTCTTCATTTGAACAGAGTATGCATATACAATGCAAGTTACAGCACCAGGAAATGTCTACAGCTACGGTGTTGTCTTGCTTGAGATTCTCACAACCCGGATGCCAGTTGATGAGGAATTTGGTGAGGGAATAGATTTGGTGAAGTGGGTCCACAGTGCACCTGTGAGAGGAGAAACCCCAGAGCAGATACTTGATGCGAGGCTTAGCACTGTTTCCTTTGCCTGGAGAAAAGAAATGCTGGCAGCGCTGAAGGTTGCTCTACTCTGCACAGACACCACTCCAGCCAAGCGGCCAAAAATGAAAAAGGTCGTGGAAATGCTTCGGGAAATCACTGAAAACTAAATGGAATTCATTTGAGTTTTCGTCGTTTTTGATTCGTGTGATTAGGAATCCAGCAATCAGGGTACAGGGAAGAGCACATTATACAAAGGTACAAGTAGACTCCCTTGAAAATTATAATATTTTGTTGGTCGGAGCGTATACTGTGTTAAAGGGTTGCTGGAATTGAAGGAAATGGAACTTGCTATATTTTTTTTGGAAATGGAATTAGAAATTGTAGGATGATCAACTTGAAGATGGTCATCCAATGAGGATCAACCATGTTGTCAATATTAGTTCCTCATATTCCACAATTGAGGTGTTTCTGTCTTCTAGGTATGTCTATGGTGGAGATGTGCTCTTATGGTGGGTGTGTGGCGGGTAACCATGCGCTATATGAAATTTTTGTGCTCAAGGAAGTATAGTTGTACCCAGTTGCTGGTTCGATCTATCTAATACTTGTTCTTATTTACGGAAAACTGTCATCCATGTTTTGTTTTTGCATTTCCTTCATGCTCTGCAATTTAGTTCTCAATTTCACTTAAATTTTGAAAGAAAATATTACGCTTGATTAAGCACATTGAAATGGGGAGCTACTGCTAGAACTTGGCTGCAGCTTGAAGCTCAGAAGCTTGTATGAAAAAGAACTCTTGCTTGAAACCAAGTTTGGAAATCAAAGATTACAGTGGAGGTCATTTTAAATCTACCGTAAGAAGTGAAGAGCCCAATCCTTGATCAGTTTGACATTTTAAATGAGGTGGTAAAGCATTCAGATTTGCCCTCAACCTTCCACCTTGAATAAGCAGGGAATTGAAATCTATAACTTGTAAAAATCATAAATGAAATTTTATTCGGTAATGCTGATCCATTGATTTACCTTTTTCTCTCATTCGGGTGTGAGAGGGAGGCATTTTTCTTTATTTATTTTAGAAATGTTTTGTAATAACATTATATCTTTTCTAAATCAATTGAGAAATTGACTTAATTATTATGCTAGGGACTAAATTGAATGAATTGATTGGATTTGGGATCAATTAAGAGGTTTGAGGGATTTAATCGAATAAAATAGATAGATCTGGGGCTTAATTAGAAATTTTGGAGGGAGTACTTGAAAAAATTAAAAGAATTGGGTTCAATTAGAAACTATGAGGGGTTAAATTGCAAGAAATTAGGAAAAAGGGGGTTAGAGGAAAGGCGCGGGACTGTAGGGTCGAATTAGAAATACTTAAGGAGTTAATCGAAAGAAATCAAAAATTGTAAGGACCTAATTGAGAAAAGCCCCAAAATTTCAATCAATTACCAACTAAAGAAAACTAGATAATTTCGAGAAACTTTGAAGGATTTAGTTGCCTTTAATTGTATAATTTCATTCCTTTATGTGCGTAAAGCTGAAGTTTGTGATCAATTTCATAGTTTTGCTCCAAAAATTGGTGTAATTTTGCTTTTGTTTGCTACGGTGGTCTAGTCAAAAGTCTAACTACTTGAACTAGTCATTCTCAGCTTTTCCTACCACCACCATGACCGAAGAACACTCACACAACCTCAACAAGTTGTTTTGGATTTTAGAAAGCCACCAATCAACGAATATAATCCAAGGTAATGGCTGAATTTGTGTTAGGGTGCTTTGAGTTTTCTGCAGGGGAGTCAGGTGAGAAAGATAGACCAGATTGAAATTGGGTTTGAGTTGGTTTGCCCAAGTTGGCCAGGGTCAATTGAGTCGAGTTCAACCGGTTCATGTGTTGGTCTAAACTGAGACACTTCAACCGGTGTAGACCAACCCAAAGGTGTAAAAAGCCAGTTTAATCCAATTATGAGACTTTTTAGTTTGGTTCAAGTTAGTTCAAGAGTGTTTGGGCCAATTCAGAGGTATTTGAAGTTAGTTTAGTGGTGTTTGAGGCTGACTCAGGGGTATTTAAGACTGGTTCAGGTTAGTTCAGTGGTATTTGAGGCGAGTTCAAGCTAGTTTAGTGGTATTTAGGACCTGTTCAGTTTGGTTTAAGGGTTTTTACTTGAAATTGACTCACATTTTCAGTTTGTTGTGGGTTTGGATGTTACATAATGAACTTCGAGATATATGCTAAGGTTCCGAAATGGAATTAGGGATTGATTTAAGTAAACAAGCCCTTAATTAATTAAGTTTTGACTTCGATATTAATATTTTGTTATTGTGATTGTAGATACACATGAGGATATACGCTTTGATCGCTAAGTCATTATTACAAAGATTTGAACATTTCAGTTCCTATTTTTATTGTGAATCATAATACTTATTTTATGCACGTGTTTTGAATATTAGTTAATTATTTATTACAAAAATGATTTTTATGATATGAATAAATTATTTGTTATGATATGATTCATCAGTTTGAATAACAAACTAGGACAAGTATTCTGGAATTGTTTTTAAAATGCAGTGGACCAATTTGAAATATTATATACTCTTGCTTCTGATTTGAATAAATACGTATATGTTAATGGTTTAAAAATATTTGAAACATGCTTTCTTTATAAACCTTATTTTATGTATGTTGTGAGAAATATATGTTCTGATATGTGATAATTCTATTTATAATACCTCTAACATGAGTTATTTGGGTGGTGATCTGATTCGATATATTGATATGAGATTTTGATCTAATATGTAATATATGATACTTCCGACACGATACGCTTTGTCGTAAAAAAGGAACTCTAATTCGATATTTGTTATGTGATGCCTCCAATATAATATGCTATGTCGTTGAGACGATATTTTGTGCTCTCACCTGATTCCGAGTACTATGAGGCGTATATTATGATTTTTGATGATTTACTTAATTGCTCATTGTCTAAGTTATACATATATATTTTTGCACATTTTACGATGCATGTCCCAACATAACTAGAGTTTGTATTATCATTCAATAAATTTTATACTCATCTATTTTCTAGCATTTTTTATATCATAACATTAGTTCGCCTTCTTGTACGCATCTCTGATCGAGTGCATAATTTCTCTTACAAGCCTTATCTTGAGTACGAGCATCATTGTATCTGTTTGTTTATACTTTAGAGTTGCTTTATTTACTTTTTAGGTAGAATCTTTCTGTTTGTATGTACTTTTAATGTTTATATCTACTTTTAATGTTTATATCATATTTGTTTGGATTATAATTGTTTGTTCTATTTGAGGCTTACTAAACTTGGTGATTTAGCTTTAGTCTGATCACGTACTTAGTTTTGGGTCGTGACAAAGTTGCTATTAGAATAATAGATTTTATCTAAGAGTAAATGAGCAATATTCTTTTGTAGTATTTTTATTATGACGGTGAGGACTCCACTTTCATAATAAATGAACTGTTGAAAGCTCATTAGGATGTTTTCTGTATTTTTGTGTTCGAGTTCCGAACACTTACTTATTTCAGTATCATTCTAATCCCTGACGATGCACTCACTCTCTCTTAAGAGATCATGGATCCTAATGCATCTAGGAATCCTTGGGGTAGAGCGGCCAGTCACGCCCCAATCCTGGAAACGCGACCAGCACTAGAGTTGGCGTATCAACCCTAGTAAGCCTCCAACCAGAACAGATCAGACAGAGTCTCTCATCAGAAATATAATCAATATACATAACAAAACACGTCTGAACTGTACATGGAGTGTCTAAAGTACAATAAGTAAATATACAGAAAGTGCCCGTACAATCAAATTAGTGCAGCGGTGACGGAACTGTCACAGGAGCTACCACTGCTAATCAGAGCTGAAATCTGGAAGGTGGGGGAAAAATGGGTGAGTATAAAACTTAACGATTAACAATACTACTCTACGTATGTCAGGATAGGAAACATAACTAGTTCAAACACAAGTATCACGTCCAAATAGTAACATAGTTTACGAAAAATCACATTTACCTTAGATAACACATGCATTTTATATATGTACAGTCAGAATCAAAAATTCAGAAGTTTGTCAGAGTATCAGAATGTATCACATATCACATGTCAGAATCAGAGCCACATATGGACCCAAGGCATTCCCTGCATGCTACGGCAACCCATCGTACGCCGACTGAACCCCTAGCATCCTATTTCAAAATCGAAGTCACAGATGGACCCAGAGCACTCCCCGAATGCAACGGAAACCCACCATCCGCCGGCTGAGCCCTTGGCATCTTGTATTAGAATCGAGGTCACATATCTCATATCTATCACACTGGGATCCCGTGTCAGAGCTAGAATCAGAATCAGAATCAGAATCACATATATCACATCATTAGGCCTAGGGCACTCCCCACACGCTACGGTGACACATCGTCCGTCGGCTAAGTCCCTGGCACCCCGTATCAGAACTAGAATCACATAAACTCCCGACAGATTAACTTTTAAAAACGCATGTATCACTGAGGCAGGTATGTAATTAATTATAGAAATAATGTCAAGCTTATCGTACTTTAAAACAGATAGATACATGTCCCAGAAGTAACACCATAGTTTAAAAATCAAAACACAAAAACTAACAGAAAATTGGAATGCAAACACATGTACAGAGAGTACTGTCACTCACCGGGCACGTTAGAACTGAAATCCAAAACTCTGACAGATCGCTCACTGGCTAAGGCGTACCTCCTCAGATGTATCTACAATCGCCAAGACACAAGTCAGAACCAAAATCAACTTTATTCTAAAAGACTCACTCGTTGAAAGGGGCCTGGGACTTCCCCTGTGTCTGGGCTCTAGACACACATCCAGACACCACTAACCCACCTTAAGAGCCATATAACTCCAAATGTTCATTAATTCTACTCAACCACCCTCGACAGTAATGAACCGGCCTTCACAAATCCTCGAACCAATCCAAACTGGTCTAAAACTACCCCAAGTCGAACTGAACTAGTCACGAAACCCTCAAAATCGGACTCAGAAGACCCAAAAACTCTAGGAACTACCCTAAACCGGCCAAAAACCTTTTAAACTAACCTTGAACCGGCCAGAAACCCTATTCCCAAGTACCGGCACACTAAACCGAGCCTAGTTCACCTCGAACTA